ACTCCAACTCAAAAAAAAAAAAAAAGAAAGTATTCTGAGATCATTTAAATAAGTTTGACCAATGTGTTTAAAAGTGCTAGATGTTATTCAGGTTTTAATATTTACCTTTAATCTTCCTTTTTTTTTCTCCCCTTTTAAGATGGGTGATAGAGCTACCACTCTAAAAAGAGAGTCTTTGGATCAAGTGACCAACAGAACAGATACAGTAAAAACCCAAAGCATGAAGGTAAATAATAAGAGGCTTACCCTGAAGTAAAAATAAATACATCAGCACCTCTGTGCTTTTCATCTACTGTTGCTTTTTCTTTTTTTCTCTTTTATTTTAAAGATGTGAGATACAATTCAACATAATGTTGCTTTTTCAAAAGGAGCTAAAACTGTAAGACAAAGCAATTAATAAATTAGTATATTAGTAGACAAATGAATAAGGCACCTACCCTGTACCAAGCACTTTGCTAGGAACTGGGGTGACCACAGTGAGCAAGACAGACACATGACCCCTATTCTGAGGGAGCTTGAAGTTTATCAGTCAGAAATTCTTATTAACACTTCATGAATTACAGATCATGAATCACAGGTATGATAAGTGATACAAAGGAACAGTATAGGTGTATGATGAGGGGGTTAACAGAGACTTCCCTAAGGATATTACTTTTAGGCTAAAACAATAAGTGATCTGTACTAATGATGGAGGACAGAGGCATAAATAACCTAAAAATGGTGTCTAACCGGGCTTGGTGGCTCAGCCTGTAATCCCACGCCTTTGGGAGGCTGAGGTGAGTGGATTGCCTGAGCCCGCGGGTTTGAGACCCGACTGGGCAGGCGAGACCTCATCTCTACAATAAATCAAAAAATCAGCCGGGCGTGGTAGTGCATACCTATAATTCTGGCTACTTGGAAGGCTGAGGCGGAAGGATCGCTGGAGCCCAGCAGGTCGAGGCTGCGGTGGCCAGGAACGGTCACTGCACTCCAGTCTGGGTGACAGAGTGAGACTCCAACTCAAAAAAAAAAAAAAAAAAATGGTGTCTAACCTAAAAATTACTCCCTATTTTTAGATTGCAATCTCAGTGTATTCATAGTCCATTTAAGCTCAACTAGTTCCCTTCACTTTGTCCCTTCCCCATTTTTGTTCTTCCCAGACATACTGTCAAGATAAGACAAGCAATGTGTGATAGGCTTTGATATCCCAGGAAAGAAAGTTTGATTACAACATTTTCTGATTAGAGTGCTGTTTAATATTATAAGCCCCAGGCTAAGATAAAGGAAAAGCCAGGAAAATTATGACCAAGTGACTAAACTATCATTGCAGATGCACATGGTGTTTGAAAATTAAGAAGATGTTAGGTTCAGAGGAAATGAACTTGGACTGGAAGCACAGCACAGGCAGTTTTTTTTTTTTTAACAAGCCCACAGCTAACGTCATAACAGGCAACTTTTGATGTAATGCTTTCCATCTTTATTTTTTCTTCCTTAGCAGTTTTATATTGTCTAGATAAAGTCATATACATTAAGATTTTTAATAAATGCTAAGCTAGGTTTTTGTTAAGTTTTCTTGGGGTTTTTTTGAGTCGGAATCTCACTCTGTCGCCCAGGCTGGAGTGCAGTGGTACACTCATGACCACCTCAGTCTCAACTTGCTGGGTTCAGGTGGTCCTTCTGCCTTAGCCTTCCAAATAGCTGGAATTTCAGGCGTACACCACCATGCCTGGCTAATTTTTTGATTTATTGTAGAGATGAGGTCTCACCATGTCTTCCAGGCTGGTCTTGAACTCATGGACTCAGGCAGTCCTCTTGCCTCCGCCTCCCAAAGTGCTGGAATTACAGGCATGAGCCACCACGCCTGGCTGTTAAGTTTTCTAAATGCTCCTGAAGTTTTTTTTAACCTCACCTAGAGAATGACAAGAAAAATTTAAGAGCCAGATATAAATATTGAGTGCAAAACAATAAAAGGTGGTTACTGTTAGAAAGTAGTAGTGATTTCAGCAATAGTTCGCATTTTAACAGTAAATATCAGAACACAACACTAGTACTCACTGTTGCCTAAATTTCTTGGCTTTACTTTCAGACCCTTTTTGTTTTTAACTGTCATCCCAGTGTATCAGTTCCCTTGTCCTACCTCATCTAAACATCCTAACCAGATGTAATGTCTCTGTACCATTAATTCTTCAAGCATTGAGTATCTAGTTTTCACTACATATGTTCATATTTTAGCTCCTTAAATAAACCAAGAGTGTTCTGGTCTATAGTAAGTGTTAGGACAGAAATAAGGATGAGAGAGAGAGCGAGCAGTTCACACATTTTGATCAAAGAAATGTGTGATGAGTTGCTGTTCTCATTAGACATAGGATCAGGTCCTTTCACAGTAGTCAGAGCAGATAGAAACTAGCCTCATAAAAACCAGGTTTCTGTTTATAATTAAATGTATTTTTATATGTCACTCTAGATCCTCCTGAAAATAAAGCAGAGTATGGGGAAAAAGCTTTTTTTAAAGATATAAAGAAGCAAGCCTTTTAATTAGAAATATTACAGTTCCTCCTAGTGCTTTGGGAGAACAATGCAGAAGGAGTTCAAGACCATTCTGGTCAACAAAGCAAGACCTCATCTCTACAAAAAAAAAAAATCTTTTTTAATTTAGCTAGGCATGATGGCTAATAGTTCTATCGCTACTCTAGTCCTCCTAGCGACCCAGGAGGTTGAAGTGGGAGTACTGCTTAAGCCCAGGAGTTAGAGGTTAGAGTGAGCTGTGATTGTACAACTGTACTCCAGCCCTGGGCCACAGAACAAAACCCTGTTTCTAGAGGAAACAATTTAAAAAGAAAGAAATATTACAACTCCTTCTTCATCTTCCTAACAATTCCTGCCTCCAGTTGAATCATCATGGGGTGACAGAAGAAAGATCAGAAGAATACTTGTGGTTTGTTTTTGTTCAGTTGCTTTTATTTTAAAGGCGGTAAAAGCATGAAATTCTGCCTAAAGTGGTCTAGGCACAGGGCAAAGCAAGATATTTAGGAAAGTTATTTAGTTAGTGTGAAATAGCTCCTAGGAAATAATATCCTACTCATTTGGGAAATAGGTGTTGCATAGGCACCTAAGCAAGCATACATTTCTTTTACTGCTGACACATGCATGCCTTCCTCCATCAGACAAATGTTCACAGTGAGTCAGATCATCTGTAGCATAATGTTCTCTTAATGGTCTCAAATCCAGCTAGACACTCATCAACGCTGAGGTCCAAAGATAGCACTAGTATTTGTTGATTCATTCCTTCATTACCTTTATAGGGAACCTATAAAGGATTAAGCACTACATACCAAGTAGGCTCTGGGAATATAGTAAAGATTCAGATGAGGCCTTACTACCACTTTAAACCTTCTGTAATCTTTGTTTTGGACAGAAAGAAGATAGTTCAAATTCTCAGGTATCCAAGCTAAGAGAGAAACTCCAGCTGATCAGTGCTCTCACAAACAAGCCTGAGAGCAACAGGCCTCCAGAGACCGCTGATGCAGGTGAGAGCAGGGCCAGCTTCTGAATATTTCATGGAGGCTTGGGCAGCTTGCTTCCCACACAGGGAGCAGGGAAGGTGTTCTAACAGTACTGATCGAACTGAGTGAGTGATGCCTGAGCGCACCGAGATGAAGCTGATACACTTTGCTTTCATTTAGAAAAAGCCCATTTTGTACATGATTTGTACTCTAGTCTATTAAGGGACGAATCGGTAATGTTTAGCTGGAAATAGACTTTGCCATGCTGTCTGCATCCAATTATAGGCAAAAATGTTACTGTCATAGTGTATATTAAACCAGCCCTAAATGTAGTTCATGAGAGTCTTTTCACTTCTGTAAGTGCAAAAAATTTACTTAAAAATAAATACTTGTCCTTCTAAAAGTCATTAACAAATAATGAGATCGTTGAGTTGGAAGAACCTTTAGCTTTAGGTAGGAACCTAGCCAATCAATATTAGCAGACGCATCAATCTCCACTGATTTAGGCCCTGTGAAGATGTAACCAAGGCACTGATCTGTGTTGGCTTTGATCCCTCCCCACCCCCCAAATATTTTTCAGTTTGGGAAAAGCAGTAATACAGCCTCTCATGAATTATCTTTGGGATGAGAGACAGAACTACATTGAGAGGCCTTGTCCTAACATTGTGCTACATGATCTTATGGTAGAACTCTAAGCACCAGCTTGGCTGATGACGCATACCCTCCAGACTGGGCTTATAGCACATCTCCCAGGATGTCAGAACATCTTTACTATCTAACCACCATGCTGTTGTCACTTGGCAGCTTAAACTCTTAATATCTAAACATGTATAATGCCAGCTTATACTATAAGACCTTCAATGGGACTGCTGCTTCAGACCTTAATGTGATATAATGCAGATTGATCTTCACTTGCCTACAAACATATCTCAGTTCAAGCCTTTAACTTCACATAGTCACTCTGCTACTTAATTCTCAACTGTTACTCTAAAATTAATTGCATATGCAATTGCCCTAAAAGGTGACCTTCAATACTGGTTTAATTTGGTGTTAGATCCAATAATACTAAATAAAACCATATGTATTTGTTACAGAGCAAGTACAGAGTTTCACATCAAAGCCATCGGCGTTGCCAAAATTTTCACATTTTCTTGGAAACCCAATTGAGAAAGCTGCCCAACTAAGACCTATCTCCCTACCAGGAATTTCTAGCATTGAAGGTAAATTTTTATACTGTGGAGTAATACCAGGAATGTTCAAAATAATAACTTTTTAAATTTTTTTGGCTTATACATTATATATATATATCTAACATTTATTGAGCACTTCCTATGGGCCAGATATTTGATGTACATTATGTTGTATAATCCTGATAACCATCCCATGTACATAAGCATTTGTACATTATTCCCATTTCACTGATAGGGAAACTACCTAAGTCCACACAGCAAATAACTGGTTGAGGCAGAATTCAAACTGAGGCAGTCTGACACTAAAGCTTGCACTCTTAACCAATGTACTATATTGTGTTTCTATTAATGTTTTTTGGGATCTTATTCACTGAATGCCTCAATGAATACCTTAGTAAAGCAGTAAGAAAACAGTATAAGATACGGTCTCACTTTCTTTCTTCAAGGATATTACAGTCTAGTGGAGAAGGCTTAAAAGCAAATACAGGACCATGCAGTTAGCAAAGTAGAGTAAATGATGACCCTGTTTGTCAAGGCCCTCCAAAAATGAGGGGCCCTTTTGAAATAAATATCAGTGGGAAGGATATGATTCACAGAAAAATGTGTTTGCTTTGCTTCTAGCATTGTCATGCTTAGAACCTCCTGATTTTGCATTTGCAAACTACCTGGCAAATCACTCGCTCCTGTCCACCCACCTTCCTCTGGCTCTTCTCTTTAGCTTAGATACCGTTCCACCGGGAAGCATTTCATTACCTCCCAAGACTGGATTAGTTACCTCCTATGTGCCACCTGTTTAGCACATAACACTGTTGTAATTTCCTGGGGAGATACAAAATATAACTTCTTGTGGGTAAAGACTATCTTTTATCTGAGTATCCCATGTTCTCACTCATATAGTGGACCTTGATTATCCAACATAATACCATAAGAAAATGACTGACAGTGGTGGGAAACTATGGGGGGGAAGGGAGATGAGATTAATGGTAGTAAATATCTGTCTGGGGATGGGGAGACACCTCTTATCAACAAGGGAGTCTGAACAAAGCATATTTGTATACCTAACCCTTAACTGTACCCCACAATATCATAATAAAAGATATTGATTATAAAAAATAAAAAAATAAAAATAAAAAAGACTATCTCTTATTTTTTCTTCCAGCCCCTACACAGTGCCAAGTACTCATGAATATTTGTTAAATGAATAAATAAGTTACCTACACACTGTAATTAAATGCTTAAAGCATAGAAGACTTAATACTTTATATCACCATTTAAATACAATTATTTCTTTTTCCTATTCCTTGTTTTTTTCCTCTGTTTTCTGAGGGAAGGGAAATGTTAAATTGCTTCCTCCCACTCTCCATTATTACATCAAGATTAGCTGAAAATGAATGGAGAAAAGGCTATTCAATCAGATTAAGGAATAACATCCTTAACATATGTGCTTTAGTTCTCAGCATAGGCCTTAGACACTTTTGAATGGCTATACTTTTGAAATGACCTGAAGCAGCAATCATATTTTTATTTGAATACTGCTACCAAATGCATAACATGTTGTATAAACTCATGCCAAAAAATATATATATATTTTTCAGCTAGCCAATTGGTGGCAGGCATTGGGAATAAGTGGGCTACTTGCTTTTCTGGCTTTCGGAGAGCTTTTGAGGTTTTAGTAGCTGCATTGCTGGGCCTATTCAGAAGCTTGTTTATAAGAACTCCTTGGTGGATAGACCTTGCACTGCAATGTTTTTCTTCCCTTCAGGTCATTTTCATTCTCCTGATTACCAAACAGCAAAAGGCCTATTGAATCTTTATTTTTTTAAAATTGAGACATAAATCACATAATATTCACCCTTTTAAAATGTATAATTCAGTGGTTTTTTTGGTATATTAAAAACGTTGAGCCACCATCACCACTATCCTAATTCCTGAACAGTTTCATCACTCAAAAAAGAATCTCTGGACTCATTATAATAACAGTCCCTGTCCAGTCTCTTATCGGCCCCCCACCCCCCATCCCTGGCAACCTAGTCTCTCAACCACAATTTCTATTGGCTAGAAATAGGATTTGCCTATTTGGGGTGTTTCATGTCAATGGAATCATACAATATGTGGCCTTGTGTATGCTTCTTTCAATATCATTTTTTTACTTAACATAATGTTTTTATAGTCTATTCATATTGTAGCATGTAGCAGTAATTCATTCCTTTTTATGACTGAATAATATTTTATCATAATGACATATCACGTTCTGATCATCCATTCATCAGTTGATGGACGTTTCAGTTGTTTTCACTTTTTTGGCTATTAGGAATAATGTTGCTGTGAACATTCCTGTGCAGGTTTTTATGTAGACGTATGTTTTCATTTCTCTTGAGTATGTACTTAGGAGTGGAATTGCTAAGTCCTAAGATACCTCTAACTTTGTGAGGAACTGCCCAACTTTTCCAAAGTAGCTGTACCGTTTTATATTCCTTTCAGCAGTATATGAGGGTTCAATTCATTTTCTCCACATCCTCCCTAACACTTGTTATGACCCATCTTTTTTATTATAGTCATCCGAGTGATTGTGAAGTAGTATCTCATTGTGGTTTTGAGTCCCTGGTTCTTGGGCTACTTAATCTCTGGATCCAGAGAGACAATATCACATAGTTGAAAGAACACCTAGGTAATAAGAAAACTTGTGTTCTGGTCCACTTAAGAGTTATGTGGTCTCAGGCAAGTTACTTTTCTCTTTGAACTTTGGTTTTCCTGTCAAAACTGAGAAAACGATGAGTTTTGGGGATTGTTACTACTTACGGGCTTCCAAGTCATTCCTCTAGTCCCTCCTCAGCCATCCAACAAGAAATCTCATAATATGCCACACTCTGTTTTACAGGCTAGCTCCTATCAGGTAGTTCATTAGGCCTCTGCATTCCTTTTCATCCCTTCAATATAAGATTAAAATCTGGAAGGCCGGGCATAGTGGCTCACATCTGTAATCCCAGCACTCAAACAGGAGGATTGCTTGAGCCTGGGAGTTTGAGACCAGACAAGGCAACATAGTGAAACCTCATCTCTACAAAAATATTTAAAAATTAACCAAGCATGTTGGCACATGCCTTGTAGTCCCAGCTATTCAAGAGGCTGAGGCAGAAGGATTGCCCAAGCCCAGAGAATCTAGGCTGTGGTGATCATGCCACTATTCTCTAGCCTGGGCAACAGAATGAGACCCTGACCAAAAAAAAAAAAATCTAGGTTGGGTGCAGTGGCTCACGCCTGTAATCCCAGCACTTTGGGAAGCCAGGGTAGGAGATTGCTTGAGATCAGGAGTTCAAGACCAGCCTAGGAAACATAGCAAGACTTCATCTCTAGAAAAAAATTAAAAATATAGCTGGACCTGATGGCTCACACCTGTATTCCCAGCTCCTCAAGGCTGAGGCAGAGGGATCACCTGAGCCCAGGAAGTCAAGACTGCAGTGAGCTGTGATTGTGACACTGCACTCCAGCCTGGGCAACAGAGTGAGACCCTGACTCAAGAAAAAAGAATAAAATCTGAAAAATCTAAAGGGAAGTCCCTTAATAGAAAGAAAGTCAGTTCATTCATTTCTTCTGGGATTATCTGTCACTGCTTCTACTTTGGAGTATAGTGCTATATAATACTCCTCTCATTCTTAAAGGATCAAAAATTAGTATTTCTGATTTAGTGAAATCTAAAACTTTACCTTTTTGGAAAAAACCTGTGTAGTACCTTTTCTTTCAGTGCTTTAAATTCATTTATTCAGTTGAGGCTACTTTTAAATAAATTTGTATGTTTAGGCATATATATATTTTTTGTCATTCCTTTTTGACAGATCTTCAGGATTTATTTCACAAGACTGGCCAGGACGTGGATGGGAAGCTGACCTACCAGGAAATCTGGAACTCCCTAGGTTCTGCTGTGCCAGAACCAGAAAACTTGAGAGCATTTGATTCCAACGGAGATGGAAGATACTCATTCCTGGAGCTAAGGGTAGCTTTAGGTGTCTAGCCTCATCAGGCATAAATTAGAAATGAATATATCTCTTGGACTGCCTAATATCTACTGACCTAACAAAAACAACCCTTACTTACCCAGCAGTCCTTTAGTCCTCCAAACTACTGTAGCAGACACATTGCCACTTTTTAACTTGTTTGAAGAAGCTATATAAAGTTATTTTTTTAAAAAAAGAAGACCATTTTACTTATAATATGATGTTCAGAAATCTGTGATTTCCTGAAACCAGTAAGAACTTACATTTTAAAATTGCAAGAAATGAGTAAAACCCTCTTTTTTTCTCTTTCCTTTTTTTTTTTTTTTTTTTTTGAGGGAGGAGACCTTATCTTTTAAAACTGGAAAATGTATATATAGAGAGAATAAGCCACCTTTTATATTTCACATAAATTTGCCTTAAATTAGCTGCACTTTATAGAGACTCAGAAAATGTCTTTTCTTTAAAAGATAGGCGTTTTCTGTTTGTAAATATTTAAAATGAAAGAAATAATTGTGCATATTGTGTGGAAAGTAGGAAGAACAGTTTTGAACAGAATGTGAGCAAATGACTTGTTATTAAAAATTGATGATCTGACCTGGGTAGCAGCTGAAAGTGTGTCCACATCTCCTTAAGGCATCCTTCAAAGACCCAAATGCTGCCATGGGGTTTGGCCTGGTAGCTAGGGGAATAGATTCGGAGAGTAGACACTTTGGAGACAGTCCCAACTCCAGGCTCAGGAAGGTAGAATTCTAATTCTTTGTTCCTATTCCCTTAGTGAATTCCAACCTGGGAATCATAGAAGTCGCATTGGGTAGTCTTTTCATTTTTAAACCTATTTCAGGGTGTATAAGCATAAAAAGTTATCCAGTGTGAAGCTACATTCCTCACCTGAGTGAGGTAGGTTGTCTTCTCCCACCCACCCACTCAAGTCTGTCTTAAAGCTATAGCTGGCTCCCAACTCCAGTTCAGTCTCCATTCTGAATTTTAGCAGGGCTAAAGTCACTGTCTCAGACTGACCATCCAGAGCTTTAGAGGAAAGCTATGCCTCTAATTTTGACCCAGGAAACTATATATACCCCCTGAGATTTTACCTGAGGGCTAAGAACCTGGTATGTTTCTCAGGACTGAGGCCAAAAGTATTGTGAGATAAAATATGTGAAATCATATTTGGTTTCCTTATCAATTCAGAAGTAGCTAGAGGCTTTCTGTCCAGAGGATGCCAAACTGTAGTGGGGCAGGCCTTGAGCAGAGGCCTTCACATGGTTGTAGCAAACTTTTCATATCTAATACGAGCAAGGGCAATACTCTCTTTAACTATTTCTATGGACCTGGGACAAAGTAATAATACCTCTATGTCACCTGTATGTTAAGCCTAGATTTGCTGTGTTGTTGCTAAAAGCAGTCTTTGGGCAACACAAAAGGAAAAAACTACAGAACTTCATTTTTCTGTAGGCCAAGTCAGGGAGAAACCAGAGAAGCTTTCATGGCATAGACTCCTTTAAGTGGAGATTATTTCCTTTTTACTTTGTTCAAGTTACCCTGTCATTCATGGATACAATCCAGTACCCTTAAACATTTAAGGGCTGGGCCTTATTCTTTATATGATGTCCAGCTTGGTGTTGGCTAACCTTTTTTTTCCTGGAAGTATTAAAATTTAGTTAAAGAAAGATGAAGTCTTTTCTCATGAATGTGTCTGCTTATCTCATTATGGCTTATGCTTCTTTTTTTCCTTAACATTTTTCTTGCCCATTTGAGCTATTAATATTTCACTTTCTTGGAAAGGTTAAAGTATAGTATAAATTAGCTTGGCACTTTAGGTAACTTGAAGATGACTCTTACTCTTCTGGCTGCCTTCCATTTTCCCCTCCCCCCCTTTTTTAATATATATACCCTTACAGATTTTGTAACAACCAAATAAAATTCTAGCAATAAATTGAATTATACTGCTATATTTGTATATACTGTACCATAAATAGTATGTCTGTATCTGGAAGGTATTTTTTTGAGAACTGATTTATATGAAATATACTTGAGGGTAATGTAGCTTGTCTTTTTTAGTTTCAAATTCTTATTCATAGGCAGATGCTTTGAAGACACCTTAACTCTTTGTTGTGTGTACTTTTCCTTTGCATCAGATAGCTATATGTGCAGAAATCAGTTTTGTTTTTTAGTTTACCTTTTTCTCCTCCTACCTCAAGCTTGTCTCACTAGCATCCACCCTGAGCCAGTGTATAGTAACATCTTCTCCCCCTGCCAAGTTTGGCAGAGGTGTTCGTGCTGCATGCTCAGACTTATGAATACCGTGGTCATCCTGCCTGAGAAAGTACCATATCTCCCAGACAGAAGTAGGGTATCTTGAACTCCTTTGTTCTAAGTTGAACAGACTCCCTGGCTTAAGAAAAGAGTCTCGTAAACCTGTTATTTAGTGTTAATTTGGGATTTTTATTTGTATGTTGTCTTAACTTACTCAGCCTGTGACCTGTGTTCATGTGTAGTCAAGCCTCACTAGCCACATCTCAGCTCTTAGAGGAAGATTGGATAGTGGAAGTGAGTTTGGTTTTAGTTTTGATTTTAAATTCTTTGACCTTTCCAGTCTGGCAGCTCCTACTGCTTCTTTCCTAAGTTATCCAAAGCACTGCTTCTTGATCCTTTTTTTCCCTTGCATTGTACTGTGAGATATAATGTTTACTAAAAGGGCCTTCTCATAAATCAGAGAGGCAAAAAAATAGTGTAGAAAGAAGAGAACCAAAAGAAGAAAGTACCTGACTTCAAGATGACTGCAGTGTCATCTAAAAGGCAGAGAAGTGCCTGGCGCTCAGGAATGTGTCTGATGCAACAGAGCTGAAGAGTGGCTGCCCTTCACCTGCTGCTGGCCATTTTTCCTTCCATTGGAGTTTTCTTTACGGTTGCTGTACATAACCCCTTCAGCACTTCCTCCCCCGCCTCCATACTCAGTCTTGCTGTCCTGCAGGTCACAGTTGAAGGTTTGACTGTGATGGGCTCATACTTATAATGGCCTGTTGAGTTGTTTTTAGAGACAGGTTTTGTTTGCTGCACACCTCATTGGCTTGCTTACCAAAACACCATCTAGATGTGGTCCCTTTTTCATATCCAAACCAGAACACATTTGGGTATTCCTGAGACTTTATAGAGCGTGTATTGTTTGTTATACGAACCTAACCTACCTTGTTGTTTTCCCATATTAGAAATTTAAATCTACTTTGTTTTAGTGGAGCTATTCTGTAATGTATAAGCAATTTTGGTACTGTTTAGGGAATGAATTCAAGGTTTCCATGACTTGATTTGAACTTTGCTTATTTCACATCACTAACACGGCCATGTTAAATTATCTAAATAAAACATTTCCTTTTTCTCTCACTGTGTCTGACTGAAGCCTCCCCGACTCCCCCAGGTACTAAGAAAAAAAATTTTTGCTTTGATTCCTATTTTCATGGACTCCTAATGACATATGGTAGGCACAAAGTAATATCCAAGAGTCTGCCATAAAGGTTGCAGCATTTGACCTGAAGAAACAAAGGATGTGGACTCCAGGTTTATGCTTCCACAGGGTGGGAGGGGCGAGATGAGGGAGGAGTGAACCCTACTCCTGTATCAATCCAAGAATCTCCTCTTAGACCCGTTGTATATTTTGAGATTCAATATAAGAGTATGTTTGCAAGGAGTGTTCCACGGCCTTTGAAAAAAGCTTTAACTCCATAGCTAGAGAAGGCTCATATAGAAGCTGGAACTTTTTTACACAGAGAAGAAAATATGGAAAAATTAACACATTTGCTAGATTCTAGGAATCTCCTCCCCCCAACATAAAATCTGGGTGACCTTTTCCTTTACAGGTCAGGAAAGCTAGGTCTAGAGGGCATAACCACCCAACCTCAGGGAAGACTACATAAAGCTTATGTCATTTACAAATATGGTGAGAGGATTTGTTCATTTCCAAAGTGAAAGGGAGAAATTTATATCCTGTGACAGAACTGGGCTTTCTGATTTTGAAACTAAAACCAAATAACCAGTATTATTTTTGTCTCCCTTTTAAGGACTATTTCCAGAAGTACAAAAACGATTAATATTCCTATCTAGTGGATCATAACTTTTGGAGGGCCATGGATTCTTTTAAAAGGATAAAAAAAACTATGGATGTATTTCTGTGTGTAATTTTAGGGAGTTGGCTGGGCTTGGTGGCTCAGCCTATAATCCCAGCACTTTGGGAGGCTGAGGTGAGTGGATTACCTGAGCCCATGGGTTTGAGACCAGCCTGGGCAACTTGGTGAGACCTTGTCTCTACAATAAATCAAAAATTAGCCGGGCATTGTAGTGCCTGTCGTTCTAGCACTTTGGGAAGGCTGAGGTGGAAGGATCACCAGAGCCTCAGCAAATGGACGCTGGGGTGGCCCTGAGCATGCCTCTACACTCCGGCCTGGGCGACAGGGTGAGACTCCAACTCAAAAAAAAATTTTTTTTTAGGGAATTGACTGACCAGTCCTTTCATGGGCCAAGTTAATGACACCCTAGACACACACTAAACATTTACCAAGTGTTTTCTAATAAGACACCTCATTAGGGAAAGGGCACCATGGTGTGTGGTGCGAAAATCAGAAACTTTGATGCTGGACAGATGTGAATTTGAGGACTGGCTCTACAACATAAGAAAGGCAAGGCATGTGCCCTCAGAACCTGTCCCTTCATCTGTAAGAGGAGGATCATGATATCCATCTTACAGTGTTCTTGTGAGTTATTAGAAACAATGTACAGAGACAACCACATAAGAACTCAATACATCATAGATATTAACACAGAATGCAATTCAGCCCATAGTGCAGTGTGGTTCACAGGGCTTGTGATCACTTATTTTGCCTGAGACATAACCACTGTAAATCACCCTCATAGCTCATATAACTTCAGCAGCTATCACTCTCATGGCAGCTGTGCTACACCTCCCCCAGAACAGCAGTGCCTTGCAATACCTAGCCCAGGACCTGGCACACATCTCTGGCCTTAAATGCTGGATGAAGGGATATTGAGTCCATCCACAAGTACTGACTCAGTGTGTCTCCCCACAGACAACCTCCAGTGCCCATTATTCATATTGGTGAGACTCAGTGACCAACTTGGTTTGCAAAGTGCCCCATCAGACAGGAAGGACATTGCTCTCCTAACAACAAATTCGACACAGAGAGCCTTGGATTTTTTTTTTAATCTTTCATAATGTGACATCCAGATGGATACTGACCTGTGTCAATACCATCTCCCTGAGGTTAGCTCCATTTCCTACTCTATGCCTGATACTTGCAGCTCCCACCCTCAGTGAGAGGAGGCTACAGTTCTGAAGCAAAAGGTTTGGCATTGAGGCAGTGGTCCCCATGAGCCAGTGTAGGGAGGGAATGGAAGCGGACATTGCTTTCAGGACAGGTGACCAAAGGGTAGGAGACAGAGTGGTTCCGCATTGGGGGTAGGTTGCACAAGGGTAGGGCAAAGGGCACCTCCTGCTCTGGGAGCTCCAGTGCAGGTTGCAGGGGAATGGAGGCTTCCACCTTGGGGCTGCTACCTTGGACAACACAGCTCCTGCTCTCAGGGATGTCCACCTCCAACAGAGGATCTGGACTCTGGACCTCAGTCTCAGTTGTAATGACAGCTGGGGGAGGGCCTGTGTTGATGGCTGCATTCAAGCCATAGTTCCGTCGCTTGTTAATCCAGTACAGCAGTGGGCTGTAGGTGAACGTGGCGGCTCTCATGACCTCCACCCACTGACGAGCACGCTTTTCCCGCCGCAAGTTCTTCCTCCAGTGCAGAAAGAGAATGCAACCGCCAGTTGCCACAGAACACAGCCCCAGAAATCCGAAGTACAGTGAGACCCACACTAAGGCAGTAAGAAAGAAAAAGAGGCAGGCTGGCAGACAGCTCTAGCTTAGGGCCTGAGCTATTCCTCATTCCTCTCCTTGACTTAACCCATTCATCAATCACTCCGACCACTTAACTACTCTCTCCATTCCTTCCCTCCCTCCTCATTGACTTGCCTCATCATTCAGTCAAAGCTAGATTACCAGGAAGCTTAAGCATCACCTCTAGCCCTTTATAGGTCAAGAAAGCTAGGTGTAGAGATGGCATAACCACCCAAGATCAGAAGATCCTCTGGTCCCTAACCCAGAACCCATCTAATCCATCATACTGAGAAGCCTCACTAAAGGCAAGGCCATCAAGGAAATAAAAGCTCACTAGTTGACAGGGATACCAGTGTCCCATCCTATTCCACCACAAGCCTTTACCATCCAGCTGTGATGGTCCTGGACTATTCATCGTATCTTTTTTTGTTAAGCAGAGCATGGTCTCTGCTTTCAAGGAATCCTTAGTTTTCTAGAGTAGACTATCTCTAACTGCTTAGCATTCCTCCATGCAGGCAGTCTCCATCCCATCCATGCCAAGGGTCATCTTTGAATGTCTACAACCAAGCTGTAGGGCTCAAGGAAAGGGACAGGAATTGAAGGGGCACTTACTGCCAACAGATCCTCCTGTTGGGAACCCATAAGACTGAGCCTTGGTATCTGACTGACGGCTCTTAGGAGAGGGAACTCACCCACCCACCTGCCCAGCCAATAGGAGTTCCTAGAATGCCCAGGCCCCATTGTTACCTAAAGGAGAGGCCATCGTGTTCTGAAAATGGAGCATTCTAGAGACAGTGCTTATGGAGTGGTCCTGGGTTAATGAAGGGAAGGGTCTCCATCCAGCAGCATTTCATGGACAGAGTGTCTCTACAACTCCTATCAGAGATTTATCCAGCCACTGAATTATCTGCCTTACAGTGAACCCACAGAGCAGACCCTAGGAAAGAGCCCCTGCTCCCTTAGGGCCTTATTTATGTTGCTGGTCTTTAAAGAACAGTTGACAGATACCTTCTCCCAGTGAGTAGAGCAGACAGCACACAGCATTGGGCAGCCCTGCCCTCAAGAAGCCGCCAACAAAGTAGGGAAAAAACCTGTTCAAGGGAACCAAGTGGTCAACACCTTCTTCTTTGGCTCCTATAATCTCTCTTTTGTTTAGTTACCTTCCTTCAACAAGTGCTAGCAAGTGTTTCCCAGGCATCAGGCTCTGTGGGGGCTCCCCCCATCTGGCCCTGGTCTTTCTCTAGCCTCACCTCCCTCCTCATCCTTTACACACCTTTCCCTTCTGGACAGGCCAGACTCCTTAACAGACCCTGCTGGTTCACATCTCTGGAGTTGTGCTAACACTCCTTCACCCATTAGTGCCCCTTCCCACTTTTCCACCTCCAGACATCTTATCCTCCAAGGGTCAGCTCAGCTCCCTACGCTGTGGCAGATGTCCTTTCAGCTGACTTCCCAGAATCACATCATCTCCAGTTTGAATGGACATTGAGAGTTTTGTAGTCTAACTCCCATCAGATGCTTGAATCTTGGGGACAGATCTTTCCTCCCCAACAACTAACCCTGCCCCCCCCCCGACTCAGAACTTGCTTGAGTCAGGAACTTTCTAAGGCCACTTAATCAACTTATGGGTAGCTCAGTTAAAAAGTTCTTTCCTGACTAAGTTTAAGTCAGTCTCCCAGTAAATCACGCTTTCTTGGCACTACTTTAATGACTTCCCTCATTATAGTCCTCCAGCGTGACTTATTCAGCACAGAGTTCTTTCCAGGACTTCCTTCCCCTTGGTGCTTCTCCTGCATCACCAACCTCTACTTTTCGGTCTCCTTTGCTGGTTTCTCTTTTTCCCCTGATATCTACATGTTGACATGCCTAGGGTTCAGTCCTTAGTGCTCTCTCTATATTCATTCCTTCAGTCATCTCATCCAGACTTATGGCTTGAAATATCATGTACACATTGACAATGCACAACAATCTGCAGCCTGGAATGCTGCTCAGTACTTTAGACTCATATACCCAGTGGTTGACATCCCTCCTTTGCTAGTCTGTAAACTTATCTAAAACATGCCCCAAACCAAATTCCTGATCATCCATCCGCCAACATCTACTCTACCTGCAACTTTCTTCCTCTTCATAAATAGCATCTCTGTTCTTCCTGTAGTTTAGGTAAAAACCCTGAAAGCCGTCTTTGACTCCTTTCATTCTATCACACCTACAGTCACTCTATTAGCAAAATCTTCAGGCTTTTCTCTCAAAACATATCCAAAATCTGGCAACTTTTCCATCACCATCACCTTGATCCAAGTACACCATCTGTCACTTGGGTTACTGGTCTCCATGTAGGGTGACCAACATCCTGGTTTGTCTAGGACTCAGCAGGTTCTCAGGACATGGGGCTTTCTTTTTTTTTTTTTTTTTTATTTTTATTTATTTATTTTTTTTGAGTTGGAGTCTCACTCTGTCACCCAGACTGGGCTCCGGCGATCCTTCCGCCTCAGCCTTCCAAGTAGCCGGAATTACAGGCATGCGCTACCACGCCCGCCTGATTTTTTTTTTATTTTTATTTATTGTAGAGATGAGGTCTCGCTGCCCAGGCGGGTCTCGAACCCGCGGGCTCAGGCAATCCACTCACCTCAGCCTTCCAAGGCACAGGATTACAGGCTGAGCCACCGAGCCCGGCTGACATGGGACTTTCAATGCTAAAACCAAGAGAGTCCTAGGTAAGGTAGGACAATTAGTCACCATTGGGAAAGCTTACCCCACATACCCTAAATTCCACCAGCCGCCAAAATAATTCTTTTAAAAAGTAGATCATGTTACCCCTCTGCTTAAAACCTAGGTGACTTCCTGTCTCTCCCAGATTTAAAATCATAGTCCTAACCAAGGCCTACAAAGCCCTGAATGATCTAACTAACCCTACCTATACTTTCTTAGTCTCATTTCTACTGATGTCCATTCACTCATTCAGACACAACAACCTCCTCATTAGAGCCTTTGCACCTGATGTTCCCCCTACCTGGAGGGCTCTTCCTCCCAGATATCCGTATAGATCATTCCTTTAAGGTAATGTCTCTGCTCAATGTTTTCTGCATAGCCTGTAGCATCACCTAAACTTATGTATTGTCTATCTCACCCCCACTAGAATGTAAGCTCCATTAATTAATGTAAACCAGGATCTAAGAATTTCAGATAATGATTACTGTTATAAAGTAAATAAAATAGGGAAACAGGATAACGACTAAAGGGGGGTTTCATCAAGATTAGTCCCTTTGAGGATCGTTTGAGCTCTGGATTTTGAGGCTGCAGTGAGCTGTGATTGTACCTTACCTGGGCAACAAAACAGGACTCTGTCTCTTTTTTTTTGAATTGGAGTCTTACTCTGCTGCCCAGGCTGAAGTGCAGTGGCATGCTCATGGCCACCACAGCCTCAACCTGCTGGGCTCAGGCAATCCTTCACCTCAGCCTTCCAAGTACAGGCGCACACCACCATGCCCTGCTAATTATTGTTATTTATTTATTTATTTATTTATTGTAGAGACAGAGTCTCACCAAGTTGCCCAGGGTGGTCTTGAACCCCGGGCTCAGGTAATCCTCTCACCTCAGCCTCCCAAAGTGCTGGGATTATAGGCATGGGCCACCACGCCCAGCTCCAAGGATTTATTAATCTTCCCCTGCATTGTTTCTGGCACAGGGTAGGGCCCAGGGCTGATCTCCATGAGCTTAGGTTGGATTGAGTAGAGTTGACGGCTCTGTCCCTGTCCCAGGAGGGTTTTCTATAAGGTAAAACCTAGACAAGAAGAATTTCTATAAGGTAAAACCCAGACAAGAAGGCAAACTGATAAGTGCCGTCGTGAAGGGCCCAATCCAGGCCTGGCGCTGTGCTGGGTGTATGTGAGACAGAGAGATGTTAATGTCACTGTCCCCGACCCAGGAGCTCACATCTGGTTCTGGTTCCGGGGATGAAGAAGATCGTAGCATTTGGGTTAAGAGAGAGGGAGGAGGGAGCATTCTCAGGATCAAAAAGAGCCTGTATCAAGGACAAATCCTGGTGCCTTTCTGGGAGAGGAGAGTAGATCAGTTTGACTGGAGTTCAAGGTGGGTATCAGGAAGCAGAGGAAGACAAAGTCTCACAGGTCTAAAGCCCATAAAGCGACTTGCACATAGCAACCTCAGTAAAGAGAAGCTGCTACTGCGATTATAATTGATAAAAGGGCATTCGATAGTTTAAGATGGACTACTACAGCAAGTGTCAAGTGAATTTAAAAGGGAGCAAGAGCAGTGAGGACTTGGAGGCCCGCCAGCTTGAGAGAGACGAGATTTGGCGCGCAGTGGCTGCTGGTCCCGAGAGGGAAGGCGAGAATCTGGGCAGACTCCCGGGAAGAGGCGGGCGGTGGCACATACAAGGCAGCGAGAGCACGCAGAGCAGAGGCTGGAGCGGTGAGACCCCTCCC